GAGAAAACACCATGCAACGCAGATAACCACAGGAAACTGTTTACTGATTAATGCCATTTCTAATAACAAAAATTACATTTGAAGGTGTACACTCCCTGAAAATCGTGGCAATGAGTGTTAACTTCACGACGAACAAACATGAACGTTTGGTATTTTTGCTCAAAACTTCCAAACATTATTCATGCATGTAACGCGTTTAACGTCACGTTCACAACCATTGCACGTTCATTTCATGCTCGCGTGTGTGTGCGTGTGTGTTTATTTGTGTGTGTGTGCTTGTTATAGTCCAAACTAATGCCCATTAATAGCGCCATGCCGCAATTTTAACATATATATCCTACACAGACACAGTACACTGACTCCGAGTCGACCAGTCCTTGTATAATACCCTCAACGCCGAACACAAGGCAGGGAAAAAAAGAACCATATTGTAACGTCTTTTCGGGGATCGAACAACCGACCTTCCACTAGACCGAAGGCGGTCTGAGATCCGATGGAGACTCTGTGCCTGGTGACTAGCATCAGTCACCTAACCTGGTGGGGCAGCCACTTATCTCACTGGTGGGGCAGCCACTTATCTCACACTTTGAGGGATGATGCTTCCTCGAAGAACCCACGAAGATCCGGGTTAGAATTGGTCTTCTGAGTGCGGAGTCGAACAAGAAACAAACCAACTTTCTCGAAGTAATTTGCAAAACGTTTTAATGAGGGGACTATGTACGTTGTGACCAATTACATTTGCTTCAAGTCCGAAACCCCCTTTTGTGTTCTTACTCAATTGAATGATGTATGTGAGCCTAGCCGTTAATGGTTACCCTTATCACAAAGTTATTGCTTAACACATGGTTCTAATTTCAACGTCTAGACCGCAAATAGGTACCAGCAGCTTACTTCAAGCAGACTGTAACGAGTCACCATCACGTAGACATGTACCTGCTAGGGCTCCAGAAACCCTTCAAAGAACACTTCCCGGCAGCTTCACACACTACATCCACTGCTTAAAATCCCACCACGCCGGACTTCATTGCCCTCGTTCGGGGCTAAACAAACTTTCTCTTGAGCCCTACCCTAGGGGGTCATCGAAGCCTGATCAGAGAGAGCGACGACAGGAGGCCCCCAAGGACAACGTCATCAAAGTGGCATCTGATATTGAAACAAAGGAGGATTAATGCTGACTGGGGAAATGAGGATGGAGATTACGTTGGCTGGCGAGGTTTGTAGTGTCTAGACTTCTCAAAGTGGTCATCAACAGCTCATCGGCTCCCGCAACTGTCTCCAAATCCGCCAGTGATTGAACTTGGGGCCTGGCACCGACGTTGTCTTCTAATATAGACAGCTAATCGTATCTCAAACTCTCAATAAACAGCCCTCAAGAATGAAAAGGAGCTCATACTCGAGATATATTCATTTTGAAGGCTGAACGTGATTAATGGATCCCGAGAGTGTCAGACGCCAGTTTGTACACACGTGTAGTACATGCGCATGCGTCAGCACGCGTTTTGTACTCTACCGTTATTTGTCTCCAGGGGTGATTTGAAACATTCCATGAAATGACCAATTTGTCTGTTGCTGGTGATCGTAACCGGAGATTAATGGCAGTAAGCTGAACCTAATACAGTTACTCTCTTCAGACTCTTTCTGTGACATATGACTGTAAGCGGATCAACGGTTCTTCCTCAGTAGCTTACAGTGATACTGATTACTTGAATGTTGAAGTTTCCTGACCGGAAATGTATGACGTCTGTCAGACCTCGTGGAAATGGCAGATTTGTGACCCCATACTTACATAAATATACCATCGTGTAACCTAATAACAGGTATAGATATTCAGCCAGCTTTCATTATAACCAACACAGAGAACAGACACGTCCAGAAGAGGATAAGGTGACGCTGGTAAGAAACACTGCAACAGTTAAAGACGGTCAGATAGTATGGTATGGTATATCTAGATTTATTTCACAAAAGAAAGTATCCAAATAAGCATGTCAGCATTTCGCAAGAATATTATTGTAAATGTTAATCATAAACATTTTATACAGAGCCATAAGGAAAAAAAGAGTAATATATTGTTTTACGCCGCTTTTAGCAATATTCCAGCAATATCACGACGGGGGATGTTTGACATGGCTTCATATGGACCTGGTACTTCGGTGTGACGAATGAAGGCGTTAGATCGTATGCTGCGCCACCAGTACACACGAAACTAAATTTACCAGCGTCCTCACCTCTGTGCAATATCGTAATAACAGAAATGGATTCGCAGTAATATAGACGCCGCCATAGCCATGGGGAAGACCAATTCAATTGTGTGGATACGACTCAGCTTGTTACTTAATGGCAAAGTATCTGATAGATCATATTGAAGTTTTAAAAGTATTGTCCTCGCCGCTACGTCCCCGTGAGACTTCTGTACGGCTGTCGCTCGTGACCCGTAACGCCCGCAGGAGCCGACTATTATACCTACATAGCTTAAATATTACTTACAAAAACTCTAAAACGTCAGGAGCACGTGTGGCCAGGTCGTCTACGGCGCCAACGTTCGCTGTGCCTATAGTTTTGGGTTGGAATCCCGGTTCGCCCCGATTAATTGTACCCGTGCTCGTAGATTTCACCGAAGTGTTAAAAGTCTGAGAAATGCATCACATCGGACTTTCCCCCCACATTTAGCTGACACGCTGTGATATAACTGGAATACTGTTCAAAGCGCATAGAAACCTCGTCCACGATCTCGACCGAAGCTTCACGACATTCGTAAGTCTGTGTCACACTGCAGGGGTACGATAGTCGTAAGTCTGTGTCACACTGCAGCGGTACGACATTCGTAAGTCTGTGTCACACTGCAGGGGTACGACATTCGTAAGTCTGTGTCACACTGCAGGGGTACGACATTCGTAAGTCTGTGTCACACTGCAGCGGTACGACATTCGTAAGTCTGTGTCACACTGCAGCGGTACGACATTCGTTAGTCTGTGTCACACTGCAGCGGTACGACATTCGTAAGTCTGTGTCACACTGCAGCGGTACGACATTCGTAAGTCTGTGTCACACTGCAGCGGTACAACAGTCGTAAGTCTGTGTCACACTGCAGTGGTACGACATTCGTAAGTCTGTGTCACACTGCAGGGGTACGACATTCGTAAGTCTGTGTCACACTGCAGGGGTACGACATTCGTAAGTCTGTGTCACACTGCAGGGGTACGACATTCGTAAGTCTGTGTCACACTGCAGGGGTACGACATTCGTAAGTCTGTGTCACACGACAGCGGTACGACATTCGTAAGTCTGTGTCACACTGGAGCGGTACGACATTCGTAAGTCTGTGTCACACTGCAGTGGTACGACATTCGTAAGTCTGTGTCACACTGCAGGGGTACGACATTCGTAAGTCTGTGTCACACTGCAGGGGTACGACATTCGTAAGTCTGTGTCACACTGCAGCGGTACGACATTCTTAAGTCTGTGTCACACTGCAGGGGTACGACATTCGTAAGTCTGTGTCACACTGCAGGGGTACGACATTCGTAAGTCTGTGTCACATTGCAGGGGTACGACATTCGTAAGTCTGTGTCACACTGCAGGGGTACGACATTCGTAAGTCTGTGTCACACTGCAGCGGTACGACATTCGTAAGCCTGTGTCACACTGCAGGGGTACGACATTCGTAAGTCTGTGTCACACTGCAGGGGTACGACATTCGTAAGTCTGTGTCACACTGCAGCGGTACGACAGTCGTAAGTCTGTGTCACACTGCAGCGGTACGACATTCGTAAGTCTGTGTCTCACTGCAGGGGTACGACATTCGTAAGTCTGTGTCACACTGCAGCGGTACGACATTCGTAAGTCTGTGTCACACTGCAGCGGTACGACATTCGTAAGTCTGTGTCACACTGCAGGGGTACGACATTCGTAAGTCTGTGTCACACTGCAGCGGTACGACATTCGTAAGTCTGTGTCACACTGCAGTGGTACGACATTCGTAAGTCTGTGTCACACTGCAGGGGTACGACAGTCGTAGCGCTACGAACACTCTGTGGATCGGTTCCCCGGTCCGATTAACATGCTACTAAACTTTTGATAGGGATCATCAAATTTGTCATTCTATTTAAATATACAGTAAACTACGGTTATAACGAACACGCTTATAACGAACTTACGGATATAACGAACTTACTGTTTTGGTCCCGACTATTTGCTGTAGTTATGCTGTATATATGCTTATAACGAACTACGGTTATAACGAACTAAAATTAGTAGTCCCTTTCGAGTTCGTTATAACCGTACTTTACTGTACACATGCCATATTGTGAGAATCAGTTTCGTGTATCAACAAAAGATACAAATATCCCTATCAAAAGATGAGTAGAATAGGTCGTCGTGATACAGCTAAAATATGGCGCGGCGTTAAAGACGATTCGCTCGCTCACAACCATAAGATGATGGCTGTTGCAAATGCTTAATATGAGAAATGTAAGGACATGGAGAACAGATTTACGTGGCTCTGTATTGGTGTGTATGAACAACAATAAATTGGTAAGTCTTTGAATGGCATTTAGAAGTGAGACACATAAGGAAGAGAATTTATGGATGTCAACTTCTTTACTATGACGAAACATAATGTTTCAGAGTATATGCTTACTCCTTCATCAGGTGATTGATGAAGGAGTAGGCATATACTCTGAAACGTTGTGTTTCGTCAAAATAAAGGGGCGGTCGGGTAGCCTAGTGGTTAAAGCGTTCGCTCGTCACGCCGAAGACCCGGGTTCGATTCCCGACATGGGTACAATGTGTGAAGCCCATTTCTGGTGTCCCCAGCCGTGATATTGCTGGAATATTGCTAAAGGCGGCGTCAAATCATACTCACTCACTCACTCATAATAAAGAAGTTGACATCCATAAATTCTCTTTCTTAAGAAATTGGTAGAAATTATGTCGTCGTAACTTTACAACATCATCAACAGTTTGGACAAATAAACAAACATAAATACACGTGAACACAGGTGTGAATTGTTGGACGATAGAAACAATCAGTGTATTTTATATGAACATATTGCACAAATTAAAGAAATAAATAGCACTTTCATTGCATAAACTATCAACGGATAAAAATGTTCTCATGAATGGGGAAAAAAATATCGTGCGTGAAACCGAGGGCACTGAATTGTCCCATTGCGTCTGTAAGCTATTATCATCACTTGACCTCAAACATCACTAAGCATCCACGCGGAAGGTCACACTGCATTCGTCACCACTCGTGTCATTCAGGGATAAGCCGAATGGCACTTCGTGTCCCTATGGTGGACATTTTATTAACTGGGTTCCGTCTCAGAGCAAGCGGGAAAACGGTATAGATAAGTCAATTTGTTGAACAACTTGCGATTCGGCATCGCAAGTTTTACGTATAATTTAAAAACACAGTTGCTGTTTACGACCAAAGAGGAAATTGGCAACTGCTGGGTTTATTCTTTACTATAAACGAAGATTTATAACGAGGAATTCACTCATCGAATTTTAATCATAGTCGTACACGTTTTCGCACATAAGTCCAGTCGATAGTAAACGGATCTTCCTGCAGGTTACGGAAAGGGGCGAGTGGTGACGAAAGATCTCGCTGGCTGATTCACCCTCGGATTCGGTCGTGTGTGGATACTAAACCTTTATATGAAGCCACGGACAAAACTCGATCACCACATCGGTTGTGCAGATCCTTTTCCATGTGTTCATGTGCAAATATAGCGATAAAACATTTGAGGGTGATTAGAAATAAATTGCTGTTAGGTGATCTTCAAATATTTAACAATTTCCGCAAATATCAAACACATAACTCGACCTTGTAAACATATGATGATAAATACATGGATAACTGTGAATGTGAGGAAATAACAATCAGTAAGAATATATATACATATATACACAACAGAGATTGAATATGATGTTTGTATTACCATCCACGTGATCCCTGTGCTATGTACACGACTCCGCCTGACTTAGCTCTGCAATGATTGATTAAGCTCCCGTCGTCGGGCATGTTTCCTTTATGCTAAAGAACCTGACATGATTAACGCCAAATATCGAGCAATAGACAACACATCACGGTCGTCTTCAAATATGAGGGCAATCTCCTAGGCCTACATTCATACAGTTTTACCCACATTATCAAGATTCTAATTTGTAACATTGAGCAAATTTGATTCCCTTGATATCATCTACTTGTTGTGGCATCGGTGAAATGGGTTTACAAATGGCTGATTTGAGATAAACTTTACAAGGTTCCGATCATTTGATCATCTGGATTGGGGGAGGGAGGAGACTAGATTTTTTCATCTACAGCTGAAGAACTAGATAAGAAAAAGCCTCTTGCAATAATGTATTTTTGGTGGCAGACAATTTCTATTTTCTTTCAACAGTTTGAAGCAGAAATATGTTTTTCAAGAATTTTCTGGGAATATCAAATCGCGCGTCGCAAGTTCCTCATGTTCTTGATTTTTTTGAAAACCCATTTCCAACTAATGACCCAATTTCATCATCACCCTAACTTATGACAAAGGTTCTTAGCATTAAACGTTCGTGAAATACATGTACAAAGCTGTTGAAGATAGGAACACAAAATAGAGATTTATGCATAAGAATGTATCGTGGCTCATGACAGATAACTGGCCTTGCCATGTGATCTCTTGGCAAAGAAGGCTTTGTATGACCAGATCTGATCCGACGAAGGACACCGAACTCTGGAACAAAATCTCAACACAACTGTGGAACATTCAGACGCCATATCACAGACATCAGACATGGAATGTTGGAGGAGACAGTGCAGCTGTCCCTTCACGATTAGAAGCAATCACAGAAAGAAATAATACTAAACACTGGTTCACAACATATACCCATCCAAGAACAGGCGACACGGGAGCACCCTCCGGGCACTGAAGATATCAACACATCCCATGCTAAAGTAGAGGCAATTTATGGATAACAACTTCTTTATTTACTGTAAAGGCGACGTTTCGGTATAGATCCTTATACCGTTGTCAAGCGCGCTTTAACAGTGAATAAAGAAGCTGTTATCCATTAATTGTCTCTACTTTGTCAACCGTCAACTTCTAGTAATGTCTGTCCAACAATACATCCCATGCTGGATACTCCGTAACTGTTTCAGCCTCACAGCCTCAGCAGGACAACAGGTGTGCGAATAGAAGAGTGCATTGAGCATAGTGACTTGAATAGAATAAATTGAAGCTGAAAGAAAGAAGAAAGGATTCACTGTACACAGGACAGTCACTCGGCAAGCGTTGCTTGGAATGTTTATGCTGGTGCTTAATGTAATGCTTTTTTCAAACAAACTCTGGAATTCTGGATACTGACGTATTCTGCACACTGGCCACAATAATATTATCCCTGTTGTAAAACGTGGTATCGTCACAATTGAACGATAGTTATGAAGAGTCACATTATGAGCCGTTGCACGACTGTATGACTGGTAATGCATGATACTATGCCAACGTCAGAGAACACACATTGTGATGACGTATTACACAAAGGGAGATGACGACCAAAGAACACACACATGGATGACATGTTACACAAAGGGGAGATTACTACCTCCCGAACGTCCGTTTACACGAGAAACTATTGTCCTGGTCGCACGTGAGTGTCTGGTGATAAAATACTTGCTCTGTTTCAGTGTTGTAAAGCTTGAAGTTCACACTGAATTCCATCCTACAGCCACTCACACACTTTTTATCAACAGATGGCATTGTATTGTTGAATCCTGCCAGGAATTGATGGCAATACATGTCACTGTGTTTGTCAAACTCACTCATCTCCTTCTGACGAGTGTTCGGGCCAATTTCACAAAGTTTTGCCCGGGTGCAGTTGTTATAGCAACACGTGTCGTCACGTGTCACCTCCACCTCCATCTTAGTCCCGAAGGCGCACGTGGCACAAACACGGAGGATGTGATCAACCATCCCGCCCTTACTAAGTCCGGATGGAGATGGACCAATGTATTTATGCCCTAGTACGAATCGCGTCACTTCCGGTGAACTAGGACAGTTTATGCGAATCATATTTTGAAGAGTGCCTGGATTTGATTGGTTCAAATATATATGCTGCTGATAAGAAGAGAGTGGAAGGACCGAGGGGCAGTAGGCCGTTACACCGACCACGAGACGCGAGCCCCGTAAGACGTCCAGGGTGCTGCTGGTGTTCATACACAGACTCTGATAAATCTCCAGTTTAGATAGACCGAAGTCGTTGGTACTCACACCTTTGGAACTGGACACCTTAAGTGCTACACATGTTAGACGAATGGAATGAAAGATTTTAAAACAGCTGCCATATATATGATTATAAAGCACATCTCTCTCATTTTTGACCGTACGCGCGACCTCGGTGCAAATGTCGTGGTCTAGCGTCGTATCCGATCCCTCGATCGATAAACACAAGTTTATAAACACATTTGTCCCGCTTGAGCAAAAAGATTCCTTCATTTTTTCAGCTGACACATTTCCACCTAAAGGAAGGGGTAAAAAGTAGTTGGGCATCTCTTTCTGATTCTCGTGACAATTATCCTGGGTGGTTGGCCAGGGCAGAGCGTCCATCATGACATGTGGGCCCCCATCTGTGGTGAGTAACCCCTGGATGAACGACCCGTGGTATGTGTACTGCCCCCCACACTTGGTCACACGCAGGGGGAGACGGGAGTTGCACTCCTCGCGAGAAACATTAGTCCGTGACTGAACATGAGGTTTGATGAGTCCTTTGGAAATACGAACGAATATTTCCGAATACGTTCCGAGGGGTAACGTAACAATGTGCGATAGCGGAACCGAACTATCGTCACCCGGTTTTGTCACTGAAAATACTTTGCACTCCAGACTCTTAAATCCGTGTGTCCAATCATAGCTAACAATAGTACCGTCGGGTAACATAACAGAAGCGAAATTGTTTTCTCCTTTAAACTGGATGTGGGTGAGGTCCGACCCTTTGGCGTCTCCAACACTTATAGAGAACAAGGAATGGAAGCTCCCATCCATGCCCTTGTGGCCAAAGGTCCGGAGTGTCGTTCCATTACTGAATGTGACTTCAAATAGCTTGCTGCTGCTGGAATCCCTGAAAGACTGGAATTTCTGGATGTAGAGTTCGGGTGGTGGTTTAGGCGTCGGAGATGGAGATGGAGATGGAGGAGGGACCACCAAAGAGGCGTTGATGGTCGTTGAGTTGAGCCATGTAGCAGGCCTCATTTCATTACCTTTTGAAACACTGAAGAACACTCCCACGAATACTGCAAGTATTAAGATCGCCACAAGGAATATTATTATCACTAAAATCCACCATTTCCGTCTTGGTCTCTTGAACACGGAGACCGACGTGGGCTTGTCGACGCCTCCGAGTCCAAGGAAAGCCTCGCTTTCAGGCTGGATGTGTCCATTCCCATTGGCTAAACCGGGATCTTGAGTTTCCGCTGACAGGAGGCCTTCCTGTGACGAGTCGAATGTGGGTCGGTCCGGGTCACGTGACCGAATGCCCGTCAACTCGATGTCAGCCATTGTCTACAATGAAAAAACGCTCATTAATTCTCATTCCTAAACCACGACGGAACAATAACATTTCATGGAACAATAATAATTTGTCACAGTGTCAAGATGGAGGTAACTGATTGGGAATTCTTTGTTTTTAGAGAACTAAATTATACGCAAAAATAAGACAAGTCATACTTTCGAGTTTTCATTGACACATACATGAGTTACTGACGGGTGCTACCGGTGGGGCAAGATATGCTCACCTGTTAGCTAACACCTGGTATCATCACTATTTGATAGTGATTCATAACCGTATGCTCATGATATAGTCGGAATCGCACGGTGGAAATTTCTTATGATAATGATTATTGGCAAAGGTAGAACTTATGTTGACATTAGAAGTGAAGAACTAAGAGACACGGGGCAGTGTATGAAGAACTTATGGTCACCTAGAATTGGTTGAATTCAAGAAAAAGAAGACATATTTAAGAATCGTTAAGGGTTATAGACGACTACCACCCGTGCTCCCAGGAACTGCTATCGGGTGATTGGAAAGGTTTATAGGACCAAGGACTAGCATGTTTTATTCTCAAAACCAATAAGTTTATTGACAACATTACATATACAGATATGGCTCAAATATGTCGAAAGGGCGATTTCAGGGGTTTTCGGGAAGCTTTATTGAATAATAATCACAGGAGAGTTGATATTCTCAGGAGATGTAGGTAGAATATACAGTACATGTAGCCACTGAGAAATGAAAAGAACATCTTTGTCCACTATAGAGAAACACTTGCAGCTGATGTCGTTATAATACCATACTTGCAACTGGTGTAGAAAACCCCCAATGCCTGCTGTATGTAATGAACACGCCAACAAAGACCGAGATTCACTACGACCATGATGCTTGGTGTGTCAGCACCATATACGCGCTCGTGGGCTTCATTGAAGTGATATATGTCTTGGATTGATCTGTTCCACTTTGTACTTCCCCCCTGATTAAACACCCTCAGACACCCGGCGTCTGACTGATTTTCAGTTATCCATTCATATACTTTTCAACGCTATTTTGCCTTTTACGCTCAATGGAATCTGTTTCGGTGGATAATCGAGACTGGTTATTTCCTGGCTTTGACGTTTTATATTTACACGTTGGTGTATAACTGAAATACTGTTAATACTGCGTTACATCCGACTGACTGACTCACACATGCTATAAGACCGACACCCCCGCTCTGCAATCCTGTGTCAAAGCCACGATAACATCTGCTACTCGGAATATTGCTTCCGAATAATGCACCGGACTAGGAAAAAGTAATGTTTGGTCTCCTTTGAGGTCTTTGGGCTGTTTACTTTGAAGTTGCAATTACCAGGGTTGCATGGCCAAATATTGCATTCAAAATGGTTGTGTTATAAGGCAGATAAAACACTTGAAAAAAACATTTTAATTTTTTTAGTTAAATATCATCAATTGATTCCAACTCGAGTCCTGGAGAGCGTTCGATCGCTAGAGCCTTCAACTAAATGAATGACAAAGGGGTGCAATACAGCCATGGGAAGTAATTTCACTACTGCTAAATCATATTAACATTCTTGTAAACATTAATTTGATTTGCGGAAGCGATCCATTTCAGTTGGGCTTATGGCCACGACTGCAGCAGGCTATTGATTGTAGCCATTACGTACAACGATCACGGTAAACACACGGTGTATGAAGACCAGTATCAAAGGGAAGACTTCGTGGACGATTTCAGAAATGCACTTAAAATCGGGCAGAAAATTGTCATAAATTTTCATGATTGTAAATGGGATTTTGGTATGATTGTAATTCTCAACATTCAGTCTTTGTCCTCCAAGTTGCATTAACATAAGGCGTTCATCTGCAAGAAGCAACATTGATCAGCACACAGTCATAATAAGGATTAATATTTTTAAAGTAGAATTTAGTTGCCATAATTGTACATATCTGGAAGCCATATTTCCTCTTGAAATAGAATTAGCCCTGCGTGTTTGTAATTGACAATATTCTGCTGCTGCCGAGTGGGCAATAGGGTGGAAACGACCGCGACAGAAACATATTTTATTTTGATTCTTGCACTGTATCGCGTTGATTTTCGACCATTCGCGATGTAGCATGCCCGGGGTAGACACCTTCAGCCATATCTACAGACATAGAAATCACATTGGGTGAAGGAGTGAGTTGGACTTTTCACCGCTGCAAGCACTGCCAAGCCAAATCAAGACGGCGGAAACCACAGGCGCCGACTATTTTTCCCATGATGGTTCTTTGAAGACGGGAGGAGCTCCCCTAACCTAACCATTCCCCTGTAATTATACCTCTAGTTACCGTTATATTCCCAATAGAAAACATTACACAAACATTAACCCAAAGTTGATATTGTCGACAATATAATGGCTGTACATTAAAATACGACGAAAGAGATTATTCAGCAGGTTGGGTGCTCTGATCACATTTTATCAGAACAGCATCGATTTACCTGAACTCAACTAGTGAGTGGAGAGTGAGTTGGTAGTGAATGTTGGAATACAGGGCAAATGTATGTAGTTCTATTATTTCAAATTATATACATTAGTCATATATAAATTGGAAATTTGAGAAGAAATAAATAATCAAAATAAATAATGAATTTGTCAAAAGACTTCACTGATGTACAGAAACAAAATTTAAAATGAAAATCTTTCATTATTCACAAACAACGTTGACAATGATTTTTCCATATCTATTATAAGGTAAACAAATATTTAAATGAACGTCATCTTGTCCACTGAAGACAGGTGATAGGTTTCCAGGAAAAACTCCAGTCGACTCCACTGGACTCCAGCATTTGGCACCAATACCATCGGTTGTTCACTGCAGTTCCCGATACACCGTTTATGAGACGCCCGTGTCAAATGAATTCAATTACCGTGAAACCTCATACAAATTAAAGGTCAAGGTCATGGTTAAATACACTTCCGCCAACGTCACGTGACAAGACGTTAGCTGACGTGTGCGCACATGGGAGGCCATAATTGATTCAAATAATCAGAGCTGGGAAACCTCTCGGGATATTACTCTGTGACTACAGCTAATATCATCAGTCTCTGAGGCTGCAATTGTCGTTGATGAAGTTGCAATTGTCACTGATGAGAGATACATAGAATGAGTTCGTGAACAGATGAAAGAACTGTTACAGAAGGTGATAGGTCTATATGAGAACAGCTGTGTCCCTTGCCACAATCGCTTACCCCTCAATGAATACCCCTCAGACATCGACGGTTGTAGTTTAAGTACTGGCAGGCTGGGTTTTACCTATGACTGAGTTAATGGTATGTGGAGGTTTACATCAGTAGTGTCATCGTTATGTCAGGGAGGTTGAACACCCTGTGAGATTCGACCTACGCTCTCTCTCTCTCTCTGTCTGTCTGTCTCTCTCTGTCTGTCTGTCTGTCTCTCTCTCTCGGTGGAAGGTTCTGCTGTTTATCCTCTATATACCATTGAATATCGACACTTATCTTTAAGAGACAGCTGTATATCATTGTTTTTAAAACATTCACATATCTAAATTGATTTTTGATAAAGATGTGTACCTCGGGGTCATAATAAATAACTTTGATGTATATATACTCTCACATATATATCCTATATCGGATGACAAACTATCACTGCTTTCACCCGACGTTCGGCCATCGAACTTCCTTCAAAAGGGGACATGGGTGGGAGAAATTGGCTGTCCTAGCAAGTGTATTCAAGTCGCGGAACACCAGCTTTTTGTCTGCTGTCTCGTAACGGGTAATGAGTGCCCCGATTACAGAGAGGTACTGATCAGTGTCACACACGCCGTTAATTATAAAATCTGAAGCTGGACTGAAATGAGTACCATACCGTGCAGCATAAACCCCAAGACCAACTCGAGTGGTCAACGTCGAGATTGTACTCAGAACATTGGTTTTATGCGCGCACACGGCCACAGTTCGCTCCAAGACACCCAGTGTTTTCAATTTACCAATGATAACGTATGTGTTCAGGCTGGTCCTGACTGTTCCCAATGTGTTCGCTCTGAAGCGGACGTTCTGTGCCAGGAATAAACCTGTGTCAATTATAAAGGCGCACTGTAACAATATGAAAGATTAAGAATGATCAATAAGACGAAAATATCAAAACATCAGAAAACTCGTTCCAGTGATGAAGCGCGATGCAGAGAATTAATAAAGCAACTGGCATGTGTTCTCGAGACAATTCATGACAAGCCTGGAGTAAGACAAGTCTTTAAAATACCTAACAGATGATATCCCCAACAGTTCGTCCTGTCATTATTAATTTGTCACATGCGCCTTGGAGAATACGTAACTAATCAACATTACTGCACACCCTCCTACTCACAAGACATCGTACTTCAGCATGAATGAGTGAGTGGGTGAGTGAGTGAGTGAGTGAGTGAGTTGGGCATCTCGTCGTTACTACTGCCTCTATGACACGACAGGAATAAAACCCGGTTCGTCGGTGCGACGAGCGAATGCTTCTACCACTTGGCTTCCCCAAGGCCCCAGCCACCACGTATAATTATATTAACAACACATGGTAAAACTCTCAATACTGTGGTAAAAAAGAATGAAAAAAAGAAACAGAAGATGTAAGAGTTATTTTATGTAGACATGTAGGCCTGTAAAAACTTAAATTGAATATGTTATATGTATGTCCGTCCTTAATCCAGTTTCGAAGTTCTCGTCCAGATTATCAGCTTTCCCGGATGTTATTATATCAATGTATCCACTCAATACAGAAAGGTGAGGGTTCATTCAAACGATGTTAAAACGTATCTTTTGGGGACTCACTCACTGACTGCATACTGATGAAGATTGGGATACAACTATGTGGTATTAAACAGTCAACCAAATCAATCATCACACGATATTAATACCAACCTAGTGACATCAAATATGATTAGTGCACTTATGAAATATGCTTGAATGTCATGAATATGCCAGTACCCCCTCCAGAGAACGCAGACACACACATGCAAATGCGA